CACTTTTATTCAAATTTAATAGCGTAATTTTTCTATTTAGTTGTGAAAATGTCACTTTATATCAAATTTAATGCTTTGTTGGCATATTTGGAGTAGGTTGATCATGAGTTGGATGCACCACATTTACTCTTACTTTTCGTGGGTTGAGCAATTTTTATTTGAATCAAAACTAAATTTATACATGTGTCTATATATTTCCGAAGTACTACAGATTTAATAAAGGGAAATTAGTAAACTAAAGCACGCCGTTTGGAACAAAGATTTTGAATTATAAGAATTATTAGAAGTTTAGAACTAACTAATGCATTTATACGAAGGTCGATTCACGAACAAATTATACTTTTAAACTTCAAATATGAAACATTTGGTTTCAAAATTTCCATAAAAAAATTAAAGCCAATTGTAAGACATAAGTGAATTATAGAGAACTTGTGGTTTCAACTTAGATTGGGGAGAGTATTTTGCTAGTTTTGTTTTATTAGCTGGTTTCAATTGATCGGCCTTAATGACTTTCAGCAGGATCGGAGGACGCTTCTGGTTAGTAAGACGGCAAGGGTTGTGAACCCTTTGACCGCAGTGGTTGTGCAGGCCATGTTGGCTCTATTGTTGTTAGCGCCTACATAAAACCGCGTCTACGTTTGCAGCGGAGGAATTATCCCACGGACCAGCACATGTGTTGTTTGCCAAAGGCACCGTTGATGGTGGGGAACTTGGACCCAACATGGCAGTTTGGGATGTTGGACGATTGGCTGGAGCGTCTTGCTGAACACTGCTCACTTTCAATCAAGCTGGCTCAGGATTGGAAATCAAGCGCCTACAATTATGAGGATTTGTTTGGCTGAGATAATATTTCGCTACCAGAAAACGGAATGTGGACGGGAGCTGTGAATCAGCCCTGCCTGAGTTGCTGAGTCTGAGTTCCGTCAGTGATCCTAAAGCCAGATATACTAGAGTCACTGTAAGTAAAGAAGGCTAAAAAGAAGGTGAAGATGACATGTTATGGGCTATGGAGAGCTTCTATCAACAAGTCTATATATTCTTTTTTTTTAGGAAAAGGGGTCAAATACACCCTCCTACTTTTTCAAAATCATCACATAAACCCCTCTACAAAAATAAGGGTCATATAGATATACATACTCACTAAAAATGATCAACTAACCCAATATGACTTGATATGACCTGTTGTAGCAGGTAAATGATCTTTTTGTAAGCCCATTCATACTTATACGATCGTAGCTCGTAGGTGGCTTAGTTTGAATATTTTCTTTGATCGTAGCCCATTCATACTTATATTTCCTTTTTTTGTCTTGCAATCCTTTTCTTTTCAATGGATGCAGCTTCAAAATTTTCTCTCTTTTCTTTAAATTTCATTTTCAAATGTCCGCTACAAATAAAAATGGGTCAGACAAGACAAAAAATTGTATAATTTCTATACACATTTTCAAAAAGGTTAAGCATAGTACGATTTTTACAAACCTCATTCTTTTAAACAATTATCCTTTTCTTTTTGTTTTTTTCAAAAGACCACATTTTTATCAATATCAATAAGATATAAGTTTGTAAGCTTGCATGAAATAAAAATCATTTTAAAAATATGATTTTCTTCTTAAGTTTTACCTCTGTTCTAAAAATCGTTCTAGACGCTCTGACTAATTGGTTTGTCATCTAGGTGAATTACTCGGTCGTCTATGGCGCTTAGTTGCCCGCCTAGAAGCGCCTAATCGGCCACCTAGGCTGTCTAGATTCGTCGAACATTACTTTACATTTTAATTTTATTTTTGTTAGCGATATAAGTATTTTAACTTTAGCCACAGATAGTCAGATATAGAGAAGTAAAGATGTAAAATTAAGATAAAGACTATATATGTTTGTATATATACCAAAATTTTATTATTATTTATATTTATCAAATACTATGTATGACTAAATGTGATAATTCTATCATTATTATTTCCTAATGTATGTGTATATATGTATTTTATACACACAATAATACTACCTCCGTTCTCTTTTAATTGCAACATTGGACTTTTTTCACTATTCACATATTCTACTTTGACTATATTTTATTAATTAATGTATTACAAATTAAATTTTAAAAAAATATTAATAAATTATTCTCATTCTAAATTTTCAATAAATGAAATTTTTAAATTTTTTACTAATAAGAAGTGAAAATTATTAATGGTCAAACTTGTGTGTTGGCAAACGTGAAATGTTGACCGTTGCAATTAAAAAGGAACGGAGGAAGTACAATATTACTTATCATATTTATACAAAAATATAGATAAAAAGGCAATTTTTATGTCTCCGACTAGTCCCCGACTAGGCGCCAGCCTAGCCAGCCTAAATGTTATGTGTTGCGCTGGCGCCCGACTAGCGCTTAACGCTTTGTTGAGGTTTAATCCCGGAAATCCGAAAGCCCAACACAAGCTTTGGATATTTAAGGACGTTAGGTTGGTTTGGAAAGTGTATAAAATATACAATAGTGAAATATTATTCAACTCAGGAGCTAACTTGTATTCAATAATGCTGTGATTACACTGGACTACCCGAACGGTAGGTAAGTACAAGAATACAGGAATAAGAGAGATAATTTTATTTGTTAAGCTCTGAGTATTGAAACGCTAACCCTTTACAATGTATTCAATGCAGGTATTTATACTAGAGTGGAGATGGGTGAGATGGACACGTGACTGAATCCAGTAGGTTGTAACCTCTGTCACGTATGCACTCATGCCTCCACTTGCTGCTGCCATGCTTTAGCATTAAATGCGGCTTCCACCTGCTGGACACCCGACTTCCACTGTGTTTGAATTTCGTTATCATAAGAGGGTCACGCCGTTAAAAATGTCTGAAAAAAAACCGTTAAAAGTAACTTTGATTTGCAAAAGTGCCCATAAAATTAAAAGAAAAATACCGAAAGGTGCACCTCGTCAAAATGACCTCCAATCCACCTTCGCGTTTAAATTTTTCATATCTGTTTGAATTATTTTTTAAAAACGATTTCGCTAATATCACTTTTCCGGTGGACTTTCTGGAGACAAGGGTGGCTAACGAAAAAGAAAGATGGCATAGCAGTCGTCTTATCGAAGTTACTTTTAACGGTCTTTTCAGACGTTTTTAACGGTGTGACCCTCGTGATAACGGAATTCAAACACATGAACCACTTAGATAAAGAATGAAACACATCATGATCCTATCTGAAAATGGGCTCATCCACAAGTACATTTTTCGTACCTTTTCTATACTTTTCTCAATTAATTTTTTCTATCGGCATATTTTCTATAATCTTACTTTACTTAGGATGTTTTTACTTGAGCTGTAATTTTCTGGTCTGGTCTGGTCTGAACAGGTCTGATCCGGTTTCTTTATATTTTTATAACTATCCATGTCTGGTCTGGTCTGATATGGTCTGGGACAAATTACAGTCCAAATAAAAACATCCTTAACCTTTTTAAAAGGTTATAGAAATTATACAATTTTTTATCTCGTCTGATCCATTTTTATTTAAAGTAGACATTTGAAAATGAAAAGAAAAGAGAAAGAAAATTACGGAGCTGCATCCATTGAAAAGAAAAGAGAAAGCAAGACAAAAAAAAAAAAGGAACAACGTACGTTTTTTAAATAAAAAAAGGGAAAAAATGATACAACTATACGTATACATAAAAGACAAATAAAAGTATAATAAAAGAAAAACAACCACATACGGGCTACAACCCTACAAGTATAGATGGAGGCTTAGAAAAAGATCCTTTTACCTGATGCAAGAGGTCTTATCAAGTCATATTGGCTTAGTTGATCATTTTTAGTGAGTATGTACATCTATATGACCTTTATTTTTGTATAAGAGTGTATGTGATGGTTTTGAAAAAGTTGGAGGGTTTATTTGGCCCTTTTCCCTTTTTTTTATTATGCATTTTATTATATCGTTTTGTTCTTGGTTAATGACTACTCCTTATATTGCAAGGTTTATTATGATGACTTAAATTTCAATCGGGTTTGGCATGATTAGAGGTGTGATGATCTATATGATCAGCGATAGCTGCATTAGACCTTTTGGTGGTTAGCAATTCGTGTTGCTCTTTCAATAGTGATTATCCCTACATAAGTACATAGGGTTAACAATTATGACTGGAAGAAGAAGGTTGTATTCAGACTTTGGTCTCTTTAAAAAATGATATAAAAATCATGATTTAAATGATACTACTATCAATATGGGTAATTTCCGGTATAAAAAAAAACAAACTAAAGTCAATTGCATAACTTTAATTGAAACTTTTAGACATGATTTTTATAATTTTTTGGAGTCTAATATTGAAAGGGGATCTATTACTCAAGGTTACTGCATTGTAAAAAGAGGTTGTGCTATGACCAGTATTCCAGTAAGCGATTAAAAAGAAAAGTCGCATAAATTATCAGAAAATGAAAATAATAATTCCCAGAAAATGAATTTACATGACTAAAAATACATTTAAGATTCACTATTTCCCTTTTTTGTACGTGGATAAGTGAATTTATACGGAAAACGCCTTTTACAGTTTTACCCCAACATGGCAACGTATAAAGATGTGTTTTCTAATACGGAGTACTACTATTATTTTCTATTTTCCACTTCTACAAGTTATTTCTTGCTTGGCTTGTTTCGAGATACAAACCTTTCATTTTTCAACGAGCAATAGTCTGTGATGGATCATAATACACCACATTAATATTCGTGACCATAATACACCACACTTAATATTCAGCATAATCACTTTGTATAAGTAGTTGTCTTTTTAGTTATGGGGGGAGGGGAAGGATGAGCAGAGCTTATGACTCTTCCTTTCTTGTTTGGGAGTTTAAAAGTTGAAAAGAATGCTTTAGAAAGTTTTGTGTGGCCCCCAAAACCTTCAAATGACCAACTTTTAAGTTCCCTATATTAGGATATTTTAAAGGATAACTAATTAAATGATAATTTTAGCTCAATTTAAAATGAACGCAAGTTCAAGTGTTCAACTATTTAAAATAAAATGATTTTAATTATGATTTCTTCATAGCTTCTTAAGAGGGTGGAGAAAACCAGTACCAAATTAACAGTGTGGGATACTCCCATGCACCATCTCACAAGAGGAATTTGACAAATACGCACTGCCCATTCTGTTGTCCGGAGCAGAATCTTACAGGTCATTTTAAGAAATTTCACCAAATGCACTGTTAACTTGGGTACTCACTAGATCAGATGTTAAAAAAATAGGAGAGTTCATCTCATAGGGATGGGGGTGAAGGATAATGACCCCCCATTGGAGAATATGTAGGGGATGAAGGATAGTACTCCCCTGTTGAATCATATGGATGGGGGCCGCCGGGAGAGCTCATCTCGTATGGAGGGGATGGAGGGGGTGAAGGAAAGTGGTCAACCGTTGGAGTATATGGAGGGGACGCAGGATAGTACTCCCCCGTTGAATCATATGGATGGGGGCCGCCGGGAGAGCTCATCTCGTATGGAGGGGATGGAGGGGGTGAAGGATAGTGGTCCAATGGTGGAGTATATGGAAGGGATGGAACGGGTGAAGGATAGTGGTCCAACGGTGGAGTATATGGAGGGGATGCAGGATAGAAATCCCCAGTTGAATCATATGGATAGGGGCCGCCGGGAGAGCTCATCTCATATGGAGGGGATGAAGGATAGCTCTCCCCTGTTGGATCATATGGAGGGGAGCCCGTTCCCAAAGAGCCATTTATAAATTGAAGTGGTTGCATAAGATTAAATTTATGGTCTGCTGTGTGCTGCTGATTAAATCTGCCAGGGCGAAGATTGGATGAACTATTTCTGTAACATTCTCCGCACAGATCAAAGCCCATCTTTTCCTTGCAGTCTTTGCATTTGTACCGTTCCCCAATGATTGGAGTCATCTGTGTATACATAAACAAAAACTTTGTCACTTGGTGATACACAGAGCATGATGTATCAAAATGTAACATATCTTCTCAATTACAACACTTGATTACATTTGCATGAAAATAGAAGTGGTATTAGTTTGACTAATTTAATGTGACATTGTCATATGGTTACTCTATTTATACGAGGGAAACTAACTTTAAATAATACTATCTTCTATGAACCAAGAATAATACATGCTTAAGAAATACAAAGTAACTTTTAACAATACCAACTATTTGAATGTAAACCAAAAATAAAATAGAGTCACTTTTCTACAAGAAATCCAGTCATTTAAGACATAAAAAACTAATATCAAATCATCAAATAATTGATATTTGGAAATACGGTCATTTATTTGATATTTTGATATTAGTTTTTTCTGAGTTAAATAACTGAACTTTTTTCTGAGAACGAGAATGAAAGAAATAAAGGAAGAGAAAACGAAAGAAGAAGAAAGAGAAAAGAAAATATGGAGTAAGTTGCAGGCTTGCAGGTGGTCAGCGCAGAGAAGGAAAAGAAAATAAAAGGAAGACGGGGAAAAGGGTGAAGTGGGCTGCCACGAGTACACCATATCACCCGTGTGTGCCATGTCAGCAGGTAACCTATTGACTGGCGGATTAGCCGCTGAAAGTTAGATTTGATGAATTTTCTGTAGTACAGGGACTTAATTGATGTTATTTATAGTTCAGGTACTTAATTGACTTTTCGTACATAATAAGAGGACCTATTTGAGAGTTTTCCCATAAAAAAACATTGATCCAATTGTCGAGATTAGTTACTGCTTTCATGTGATTACCCAATGATCGTGATTTAATGATTATTTTACCGCTCCTTATTTGTATTTGCCAAGGTAAACACACAGTGAAAAGACCTACGTAGCATTTTATTTCCTTTTCCAAACACTATCCAGGATACGAGCATAGCCTAAGTGAATGAACAAAAATAGTAAGACAACCAAAGCGCTTTGAGTCAAAAAACTATTTGGAGACTACATGAAAGCCAAAAGAACAGGAGAGCAGGAAAAATATAACAATTAGGGTAGAATGGAAAGGATCTTACCCCACAGTAATCACAGCCAACTGAATGATGAACAGGTTTCTCCCCTGGTAAACAAGATCTGATATCACGGGCATGAGCTGAGGAAGATTGGACATTTTTTATCATTTTTGTTCCACCTAACATCAAATGTAACAGTATATATATGAGAAATATGAAAACAAACACTGGGTTTCACTTATAGGGAGCATGAAGCTTAAATCCTTTAAAATCAACAAACACCAGTAAAGCTCAGTCACATCTAGCATAATAATGCAGTTTTTGGATGCTCTGTAATGACGTAATGACATCTAGCATACTAATGCAGTTTTTGGATGCTCTGTAATGACGTAATGACATCTAGCATACTAATGCAGCGTTTCGAAAGACAAAGCACAAAGAAGAAAAAGTGATACAGTCGGTCAAGCTTAGAAAATCTAGTAAAAACATGCCACAAGTTTCTCATGAAAAGGAATTTAAGATCAAATTCAAGACATAAGAGACATAAAGGGAAGAACATTCCAATAATAGCCAGTGTAGAAAGACAACCAAAAGTCAATTGATACAAACTCTGCATATGAAGAGATGAAGGACAATGCTCATGTTGAATTCATGAATTACTTGTTGATTCAGAATCAGATTTGTGGAGGTAAGTCCTTTTCCTTGCTGCATGCTCCTCTGGAAATTGCTCTGTAATAAAATGCTCAATAACCAAACATGTACGTGGGTACCCATTTGGGTGCTCCGTTTGACAAACTGGACATCTACACAACTTATCACATTGGTTGAAGATACAAGCTCCACAATAAACTGCAGAAAGAAGAGAATTTCATTAAAGATTGATAACCAAAACTGTAGAACCAGTTTGTAGACTTCATTTTGTCTTACCAAGTTACCAGTCCATTTGTTCACCAAACATTAAATTCATTTCATTGTTCTTTATCTTTTTATGTTCTTATGTTATGTCTATCTTTATCTTTCTTATGTTCTTTGATCTTTTTATCTTTTATCTCTCTTATGTTCATATGTTATTTTTATTATATATTTATCATTATCTTATCCATTTTATTTTACCTTATCTTTTTATTTTTCTTAGGGAAAAGTGTCAAATAGGCCCCCCTACTAATACGAAAAAGTCAATTAAGCCCCCAAACTCAAAAAACATCCAATTAAGCCCACGAACTAAACATAACGAGGCAAAACAATCCTTTTAGCAGGATATTAACCGTTCCCAGTTAAGTTGCATGTGTGGCAAATGATGTGGCATGCTTTTACATTTTCTTTTTCTCTTTTTCTCTTTCTTTCCTTTTTTCCTTATCTCTTTTTAACCGCTTAATTACCTACTAAAAGGACTGTTTGCCTCGTTTTTTATAGTTCGTGGGCTTAATTAAGTGTTTTTTGAGTTCAGGGGCATAATTGACTTTTCTGTATTAGTAGGGGGGCCTATTTGACAGTTTTCCCTTTTTCTTATCTTTCTTCTCTTTTTGGCTCTGATATCAATAGCATGGATCGATTCATATTAGCCGACCCCAATATTAGCCAGAACTGGCACATATTGGAAAAAAATTTGGGCATGACTTAATTTTTTTGCTTAAATTAATAATACTAGTATACTACATTTTACTATATTATTTCTATAATTCGTTAAAATGTGCATGCATTTAACAGATTGAAGCATACAATCACAAATTCAACGGAATCAGCCACTTCCACTTCTGCCATCTCAGTCTTACCTAAATGATCTAAGTTTTGTATAAGTGATAATTTAAGGAAACTGGGCATACCGTGACCACAATTTAGAACAACTGGACAGCATAGCAACAATTTGCATACCCCACACTTTAAATAGGCTAAAAGCCAATGTTTATCATTTTGCTCAATAAACTTATCTCCGCCTTTGGTGTTTTCAGTCTTATTTCCGCCTCCGGTGTTTTCAGACAAGTCGTGAAGTAATGAAGCTTCTCCTTTTCGAGAACTGGATCTTCCCAAACCCCCAAGAGAAAGTGGTAAAGTTGGGCCTTTGACAACAAGCTCCTGGCTACAAGCTTCTGATGTATCATCATCAAGCTGTGGAGACATAAACCCTGTTTTCTTCTCTTCTTCTGCACAACTAAGAGATAAGGCATTAGAATATGAGAGCATAAGCATCTTCTGCAAATGTAAATACAAAGTTGAACATTTGAAGAAATGGTAACCTGTAGATGAAGGGTGAACTCTAAGAATTTGTTTGGTTAGAGGAATCTAAATGAGAGTGGAGCCGTGGAGGGGAGGGGAGGAAAGTGATGCAGTTGTATGATATTTGGTTAGGGGTAAGTGTGTTGGAGGAAGAGGAACTACAAAATCCTCCAAACTGTTCATATCTTACTCCCAAATGCGGGAGATTCTTTACGAGCTATTTTATGCTTAATTTCTTTCCTCTTTTAACTGAAATGTTAGTATTGTTATTGTTATAAATGTATATTATTTTTTTGCGGAGTATCAAATGCAACATTCTTCATATTATTCTGAAATACTAATCATCCCACCCAACTACCCAACACTATTGAAGAAATATTACGAATATTTTTCAAAACCACATCTATCTTCTATATCTCCCCTCAGCTTCCCTCTTAAGACCAAACAAGGGCTTTAGCAATCCATAGGCTTTCATTTACATCAATGATAAATATATAGCACAAGCAGCTAGCAATGTGTACACGGAAATTCTGAAATTGTAAGCACATTGGCTAGCAGTGCTTGATAGTGATTCAAAACCTCAATTTGAAATTCTTAGGCAAACAAGAAAGATTTAAAATTTGATGAATTAAATTTATGATTAAGAACTACTTTGTATTACATTTAAATATGAACAACATAAAGACGAAAAGTAAAGGCTGAGCTTTAATCACCTGCCACCTGTATTTCCCTTCTTTTATATGACAAAGGATACAGCTTCAAAAGCAAGAAATGCATCATTCCACAGATACGGGGGAAATGATGAAACTGATGCCTACAAACTGGGCAGCTTGAATCCATATGAAAATTCATGAATTTATATACACACCAAAAACAAGCAATGTGTCCACACCCTGGAGAACACAAACGTTTAAACCAATTTTGTAAACATGGCGTATGGGTTTATCAAATTTTTCCTCCTCTTAATGAAAGTATGAACTCTTACCAATTACGACAGGCTTGTAGAGAAGTTCCCTGCAACATCAAAGCAACCGCATAAGCAGAAACATAGAAAGGTGCACAGATGAGATTTCTGATTGAAATTGGAGGGGAATAAAACATACAGGCAAACACAGCACTGGAATTCATCGGGTATTTCATCGATTTCCATGTCAACGCGATTCTCATCGCCTTGGTTCTCCATGAATGTATCTTGTGCAAAGTTTTAGATTTCTGGTTTAGGTTTTGAGCAAGAGGGTGAACAAAAGAATTACGGAATGTACGCAAGTGTATGAAAAACGTAAAAATATGAGTGTCAATGAACATCAGGAATCACAAGATGGTACCCGGTGAAAAGAGCCGGACCGGGTTGGAGAAAATGAGAGTACATTCAAGTATTCAACCAAAACTATGACTGGTATCAGTATCAGACTAGTATTCAAAAGCTTGAAAATCGAATCCAATAAACCAAATCACATTGGAAAAAGTAGAACCGAATGATATTCGATCCGAATATCGGGACTCAACAAAGATGAACTTTTTTTTTGACAGTTCATAAAAGATGATCACTTATGCGGGCATACAAAAAATCGGGTTGCATCGAACTAAACCGAAAATATTCATTAATAAAAATAAAATTATGAATAATATAACACTACGTAATTGTTATTTGAGAAAAGTAGGAAAAGATACTTGTGTTTAGACTCGTTTTTAGTTAGAGTAATGTCTTTTATTTTTTTAAGAAAGTGAATCATGTGTGTAAACTCCTTTATCACAAGAGCGTTCTGGTTGGCGCCTAATGCCGTTAAAAATCGTTGGAGGAAGACGATGAACTAACTCCGATTTTCAAAGTATCCGGAAAATTGAAAGAAAAATAGTGAGATATGTGTCTCAACAAGACGACCTCTAGGCCTTCTTTCTTTTTTGTTTCCAGTCACCCTTGTCATCGGAGAGTTCAACAGAAAAGTAATATTAGCGAATTCATTTTAAAAAACTTATCCAAGTGGATCAGGAAAATCCAATGAAGAAGATGGTTTGGATGTCATCTTGATAAGGCGCGCCCTCCAAAAAAATCGGTTAATTTTTCGGGCACTTTTGAAAATTGGAGTTACTATCCATCGTCTTTCTCCAGTGTTTTTAACAGTGTTAGGCGCCAGGACCCTCCTGTGATAATGAAGTTTAAACACATGATCAACTTTGCTAAACAGGCTCAACCACAAGTACATTTTCAGTATATATCCCTTTTTCTTTTGTACTATGTAGTTAACAGCATACACATATTATATAATAAACGAGGGAAAAAATCAAATACTCCAAACATTAAAGGGGGATGAGGTAAGCACCTCAAACTTGCTTATGTAATATAATATAAATATCCCAAGCTAAATACGTTTAACATTTATGAGAGTGTGTTTAACATTCTTAACTTCTATTTGTGAAATAGTTAATATTGTCTTGGTCTCTCTCTGTATATATATAATTACAATACTTTTAATTTGATTTTTCTAATACACGACTTTGATCATTAAATTTGACTATTGGTAAAAGTGACTTGTCAAAATAACTTTTGATTTAAGTTTTGGGTATTTAAATTATATATACAAGTTTGCAGTATTTACGTTACATTTGGGCTATTTAAATTACTTTTTTCCTATAATAAAGTATAGAGTTTGATATTTTGTAATATGTGTTGACAAATTGGTGGGAAACCACATTTTGCGTACTAGATGTCCCGAGTTCGAAACACGGGTCTGGAAAAATATCCCACATTTTCAATCTTCTTTACTAAACTTTTTGTCTCACACCGGACAACGGATTCCTGTTTCGGACTACTCTACATAAACATATTGCATGGCCTTCTTTCATGGATACTTTGTAATACTGATTAAATGCTCTTAGTACCGTTGTTTGTATAATATATAATTATATATTGTACGAAGTATAATATATATTGTAAAGTATGAAAACTCACGTTTTTATCCACTGACCTTTTTTTATGCTTTGTTTGGACAAAGTGAACTTAAACAAACCTAGTGCAATAAAGTAAACCTAAGTTTTAATAAAAAAAAAGGTTAACCTAAGTGAACTTAGGTTCATGCGTAAAATGGCGTTTGGAAAAAAATAAGGTGAACCTAGGTTAATGTCATAAATGTTGTTTGGATGAAGGTACTCTAGTTTATTTATGTTGAACGGGAACTTAACCTCTGAAACCCCCGATTCGGAGGTTCTTCAATTTGAGGTGTTTCAGGTTCTTGGGAGTTATGTGAGGTTAAGTCATAACCTAGGTTCTTGTTGCAAAAACACAAACAAACGAGGTAAACTAAAAATTGAACATGCAATAACCTAGGTTAACCCCAAACAAACAAGCCATTAGTTATACACACGATTATTTCGTTTTATTTATTTGCGATATTTCTTTTTTGGGAAATATGTTGTCTTTGTAATAGTACTCTTTATTTCTATTCTTTCATCAGCATCTTTATTGTTTCAAATAAAGAAATATGGTGGTAATATTATTTTCTAAAATCTAAATAATATTGAATACTTCATTTTAACATGGAATATATATTTTTGAAATGTTAAACTTTTAAAGTTTTTGTAAGCACATAAGTTGAAATTTTGATTGTTAAAACGTTGACTTCCGAGACAAAAGTAAAAAATTATGAACTTAATTGTAAAATAGAAAGTAGTATTAATAATATAATAGATCAACTTCATCATTTGAAAAGTGATTATTTAAAGTGATGGGAGTGTATGTGATAGCTACTCTTTTAAAAAGTGATATGATCATTTAAAGTGATTTGAGATTGGAAAAGTCTTCTCTCCAACAGGGAAAGATCAAGCTTCTCGTAATTTTGAAGAAGCAGTACTTCACCTCTACTAGTTTTGGCTTTATTTTAGTTTTTGTGTTGGTTAGCGGTTGCTATAACCGCTCAGATTGCTATCAAGGAAAGCGACTCATAGATCCCGGACGGGCCACGAGAAGTGAGCGTCAATCTAATGACCGTTCATGCTGCATGCGTATCGGTCTTCCGAGGAATTCTCCAAGGTAGCCGATGAGTACACCCATGAATATCTAGTTGAGTCGTTCGGAAAATTCCTTTAGCGGTTTCCCTGTCCCGAACATTGTGACAAGGGAATCCAGCTGGCCGACTAGACTCCGGTGGGGAAGCAGTGGTCGAACTCCATGGCCTGGAAGACCTATGTGGCCGATTGTGTCAGCACATCCTGAGGGCGGTGTTCCTGATCATGCAACAACTCGCGAGCAAACATATCGTCATGGCAGATTATTCTGACAACCGTGCCCCGCTAAATATACAAATATACATATATTTACTGAAAATATACTACCATAAGTTTTTTTAAAGTATTACTGAAATAAAACTTATTTACAAAAACATGACGAATAGTTAATATGCTTTTGTCTCATAGTTGTGTATAAAAATTAAACATAGGTTACAAAAACTAAGTTACTATTATAGTCACTCGATCTACTTAGGGAGGTCACGTACATTTTCATAACAACAATGTGACCTATGTAATTTTATATTCACTACACTCAGTATTGTCAATTTTTTGTAAATAATACTTATTACTTTTAGTCACATATATGTATTTTCTTCTACTACAAAAATAAAAATAAAAAAATAAAATATAAATAAAAAAATATATACATGTTGGGGTTATTGGCCCAATACGGACCGGCCCAATACCCCGTGAAGAATTGATGGCAGAAACTGCTAAGGCCTAGAGCCCGCTCGGCCCAACCCGGGCAGCACGCGCCGCGCGGCATCAGGTCTTTGTGCCAATTTGCCGGCAACCAAGTAGGCTCCTATCGGCATGCTTCAATATTAATTGTTCTTGAACACACAATAAAACTCGGGTCACTTACTTGCCTTTTTCTCTTCTTACTAAAGTACGTGTGCCCTTGATCTATTAACTAACCCAAACAAAATCAATCCACCAAAATATCCAACGAAAATCAAGGGAAAGTGTTGGGTCCTTGGGACTCGGAGAAATAAACCTCTATACTTTTTTTGGAACAAAATAAAAAATGACATATATCGATACTTTTTCTTAAAGTGTAAAATATCAAAACCTCAATAGATGTATTTAAAAATAACCCAATATATATGTCTTCCTAACATCAATTTCCCGTTTTCATCATCAAATAAAATGCATTTAATTCGTCATTTTTAACTTTTTTTATTAGATTAATGGGAAAATAAGTTAAATATCCTAAATTTTGAAGAAATGTGAGATAAGTATCTCAAACGTGCACATGTAATATATACCCCAGATTTAATATAAAAGGGGAAAATTATTATCTCCCCCCTGAGGTTAATTGTTATATCATAATTATTAATGCAACTTTCAATTTTCAAACATCAATTAATTACCCTCTGAGTTTTGATCATTCTCATTATATGCCTCCTCACGTTAATATTTTTAAAATTAAATTTAAAATAACTCTTCAATTCGATGAAAATTGTCTATAAAATTAATTTTTAAAGTATAATACGATTTATTATCATAAGTATAAGTCATAGGTTGTTGATCGTTATTTTTCTACTTAAATACTCGATCGTGGAAAAATTATTAATGATAGTAGTTAAGGGGAAGGCCCACGAGTAATATTCATGGAATACATCAAAGAAAGTAGTTTAAAAATGTGTTACAAAATTCTAGACACTTCATCATGTATATTAATTCCAATGACAATTCTTACGTGTGTAACGAAGAAGAAATACCAAGAGAAAAGGAATTTTATCATTCCATGATCTAAAAGATAGGTCTAGTGTCGATAAGGGACCTAAAAGATAGAATGTGTCGATACTCGATATAGGACCTGAATAACTGAAACCTAATTGATGGAGTATATGGCTCGGGAACCCCCGACCCACAGACTCCTACTATTCCAGCACAGGCCCAACAGCCCCAAGAAGCACAAGAGGTCCAAAACACAGCGGCCCAAGCTCAAAGGAGCCCATGGTGCGCCCAGGGTAGCCTTCGGCAATATGGCCGAAGGCTCCAGAACTCACAGGGCAGTCAGATTCGAGCATACAAAGCTACTAGGAGAAAATGACAGAAAACAGGAGCCTTCGGCATTTTCGTGCCTTCGGCATTAGGGAAGCCTTCGACCGCAGGGGGAGCCCTCGACCAACAACTCAATCATCGGAGATTCCCTTTGGAGACAAGCAACCACCGCATTTAATGCGGCGTCACATCCACCCACCGCATTCAATGCGGTGCACATGCGAATGCCAGTGCCACCTGATTGAGGTGACCCCTCGGCCGTTAGATTGCTGACACGTGTACTCTCATCGCATTTATTGCTGCTATAAATAGCATCCCATTGTAAAGGACCAGAACATCTCGAGTTCATTAATACAATCGCCTCTCTCTCTCTTACTTGTTTGCTTTGACTTCTCTCTAGGTTATTCTCATAATAACCCCTCGGATAAGCCACCCCTGGGTACACTGTCCATCATTTGGTGCTCTCGTTGAGTCTATAATGAATGAAATGTGAGTTCTATGAGTTGTGTCTTTACAAGCCTTACATATAAGGGAGTATATATAGAGAAAATCTGGGTCTGGGCCTCTAA